ATAGGCTACCGCCAGTTATTTGAAGTTATTATAAACAATGAATATCTCAAGTTACACTCTCCTAATGTATGGATGTATATGTCAATCTGATGGTTCACATTTTGAAGTTTCGCACCAAAAGTTAAATAAGTCGTTTACCGCATGTCGAAGCATTTAATTTTAATTTAAAATAATGAAAAAAACATAGATACAAGGTATCAGTTCCTAGTACTTTAATCACATACTATTTCTTCCCACACAATGATAATAGATGCCTATCTAACCAATCTATTATTATAACAGTGGCCCATATGGATATTTGAACCGCTCACTTTCTAACTGTGCAAACAATACAATTAACCTACCTATTTTAAATTTGTATAAGGAGTTTCTTGGATATTACAGTAATTTAAATAAATGAGATCAGGAGTTAATGAAAGCTAAACCACCACTGAAAACTTGAAAGCACTGGATGGTCGTTTTATCTTATTGTGGGACTGCTCAGCAATGCCTATCCACCATTCCGCCTCGCGAGATTCGAACCCAGGAACTATTGGTCTCGCGCGCGAACACTTAACCTGCAGACCACTGAGCCGGTATCTAACGGTGTTAATACCTACCTTCAACTAACTCACGAAATTGAGGAATCTCATAAGAAGACGAAATGGCCGTACAATGCTCCCAGGTTTTCCATGATGGTTTAGCTTCAATCAGCTCATGATCTCAACTGTTAAAATTATTTTAGATTTATTTGAACAAATAAACTTTGGATGCTAAATGTATGTGCTTATAAAAGACTGAAAAATTATTGCAAAACTAAGTTTTGGCAAACTCGAACCGAAAAACTACAGTTCTTGATATTTTTTCCTAATTATCTATCATTTGATAAACAGGGACAAATACATTGTAATTAAACTATCTTATACACGATAGATTGGTATATACCTTTAGTATTTGAAGTGGTAGAAAAGTTTAATAACCGTCTAAAGTATGTATCAAACTATATCTTTAATGATTATATTTTAGGTTCACGCTTATATTGAACACTCAGTGCTGAACATTCTATGCTTTTAAAGAGTTTATAATACTGAATATAACTAGTATTATTATTTTCACTCATGCTATTATTTTATTATTATTATTATTATTATTTAATAGAATGACGAAGAAACACCAAAACAGATTCTAAGGCAACTTTAACTGTTCCTAATATCAATAAGAAGGAATATATATTTGGTAATGTATGTAAATAAACAATGTTCACTTTTCTTTCAAGTTCAGTCTTGCTTTAGAATCCTTGTAAGTGAATAAAAACAAAAAGATCATCTTGATCATTTCAAATAAACCAATCATTTAATAGACGGTTACTAATAAAATTAATATTCCCAATGAGTTGAAAAATCTAATTTTCTATATATATAAGCAAAGATGGATGGTGGCTAGCAGTGGGATCTAAAACGCGCGTTTCGTCTTATTTTGAGCTCATCAGCTAGATGTACCTGCATCTCAGAGTTGATGTTCACTCTGGGACTTGAATCAAATACCGTTCGCTTCAAACGTCATCACGTTATCCACTTAGCTACTAAGCCCTGATAGCCACTGCTAGCCACTATCCATTTTTGTTTATAATGCTTGTGAATTAAGATAATATCGTGGTAATACACACAGTATGCACATATGCTAATACGAGACTGGTCAATTTCAGTCCTAAATATCAATGGGAAGATTCAAGTAAACAATACCAAGTGAATGTATATATTGATTTGTCTGCAATATTGATAAACTTTGTTTAGAAAACTAATGATTCGACTATCTAACACTACAATCAAATATGATAACCTATTTGTTAAGATAACTCCGCCTGTAGCTCTTATAGGGTTGCTGCCGGTCCCAAGCCCGGGTAAAGGAGGAGGGTTGGGCATGGGGTTAGCGTCCCCATCCCGTAGAAAACTAACTCGCTAAAAAAACGCTTACCAGAAAAAATAATCCAAACCATTTTAACTCTGCCCTGGGAGTTAGAAGGTCTTCATTTAGAAGAATTATGACGCTTCATGGTGAAAGCCGAGTTCTTTCGGAAGCCACGAGGCCGATGCCCCTTCTAACAACCAGAGAAACAATTTTTATAGGTACATGGAACGTTCGAACAATGTGGGAAACCGGGAAGACCAGTCAAATAACGACGGAAATGAGGAGATACAACTTAGCAGTACTGGGAATCAGCGAAACCCACTGGACCCAAGCTGGACAGAAAAGGCTAGCTAAGGGAGAGATGCTGCTATACTCCGGTCACGAAGAGGACAATACTCCACACACTCAGGGAGTCGCTCTTATGCTGTCCAAAGTAGCACGAAATGCACTTGTAGGATGGGAATCTCACGGATCCAGAATCATCAAAGCATCATTCAAAACAAAGAAGGAGGGGATCTTAATGAATATTATCCAATGTTATGCACCCACCAATGATAGCAACGACGACATTAAAGATCAATTCTACGAGCGGCTGCAGTCAATCATTGAGAAATGCCCAAGAAAGGACCTCACCATTCTAATGGGAGATCTAAATGCCAAAGTCGGAATAGACAACACTGGATATGAAGATATCATGGGACGACATGGACTGGGAGAAAGAAACGAAGATGGGGAAATATTTGCAAATCTGTGTGCATTCTACAAATTGGTCATAGGCGGCGCAGTATTTCCACACAAACGTATATACAAAGCTACATGGATCTCACCGGACCACACCATAGAGAACCAGATAGATCATATTTGCATCAATAAAAAGTTCCGAAGGACAATGGAAGATGTGAGAACCAGGAGAGGTGCTGACGTAGCTTCAGATCACCACCTAGTTGTAGCCAATTTGAAACTGAAGCTAAAAAAGAACTGGACAGGTGGACAAACAGCAATACAAAGGTTCAATACAGCCTTCCTTCGAGATACTGTCAAACTCAATGAATTCAAGATAGCTCTCAACAACAGGTTCCAAGCCTTACGAGATCTACTGAAAGAAGAAGAAACTACTATGGAGGACAACTGGAAAGGCATCAAGGAAGCATTAACTTCAACGTGTCAAGAGGTTCTTGGTCTAAAGAAATACCATCATAAGGAATGGATCTCTATAGAAACACTGGACAAGATCAAAGAAAGGAAGAACAAGAAGGCAGCAATAAACAACAACCGAACACGAGCAGAGAAAGTCCAAGCACAAGCTGAATACATAGAAGCAAACAAACAAGTGAAGAGGAGCATTAGAGCCGACAAGAAGAAATACGTGGAAGAACTAGCAACGACGGCAGAAAAAGCTGCTAGAGAAGGAAATATGAAACAGCTTCACGATACAACGAAGAAACTATCAGGGAAATACAGTAAACCAGAGAGGCCGGTCAAAGACAAAGAAGGCAAGCCAATCACCGAAATTCAACAACAACGTAACAGATGGGTAGAATACTTCGAGGAACTCCTGAATAGGCCGGCTACAATGAATCCACCGGACATCGAAGCAGCACACATAGATCTTTACATAGATGTCAATCCACCAACTACGGAAGAAATTAGAATGGCCGTCAGACAAATCAAGAACGGGAAAGCAGCAGGACCCGACAACATACCAGCTGAAGCACTGAAGCCAGACATCGAAGTAACTATAAACATGCTTTACCTTCTATTCAAAAAGATTTGGGAGGAGAAACAAGTGCCGATGGACTGGAAAGAAGGGCACCTCGTCAAGATTCCAAAGAAAGGAGATCTGAGCAAATGTGAAAACTACAGAGGCATTACACTACTGTCAATACCAGGGAAAGTCTTCAACAGATTGTTGCTGAACCGGATGAAGGATGCAGTAGACGCCCAACTTCGAGATCAACAAGCTGGATTCCGTAAGGATCGGTCGTGCACAGACCAAATTGCAACACTACGGATCATCGTCGAACAATCAGTTGAGTGGAACTCATCACTATACATCAACTTCATTGATTATGAAAAGGCATTCGACAGTGTAGACAGGAGGACGTTATGGAAACTTCTTCGACACTACGGAATTCCTGAGAAGATTGTCAATATTATCCGGAACTCATACGACGGACTACAGTGCAAAGTAGTGCATGGAGGACAGCTGACAGATGCATTCCAAGTAAGGACCGGAGTCAGACAAGGCTGTTTACTCTCTCCCTTCCTTTTTCTCCTGGTGGTCGACTGGATTATGAAGACCTCAACATCTGAAGGAAAACACGGAATACAATGGACAGATCAGAATCAATTAGGCGATTTGGACTTCGCAGATGACCTAGCCCTCCTATCACGTACACACGAACAGATGCAGATGAAGACAGCCAGTGTAGCAGCAGTCTCTGCATCAGTAGGCCTCAGCATACACAAAGGGAAAACTAAGGTCCTCAAATTCAAAGCGGAGAACAGCAATCCAATCACTCTTGATGGCGAAACTCTGGAAGATGTAGAGTCCTTCACATATCTGGGAAGCATCATCGATGAACAAGGAGGTTCAGATGCAGACGTAAAGGCGAGGATCGGCAAAGCAAGGGTCGCATTCCTACAATTGAAGAACATATGGAACTCAAAGCAACTTTCAACCAATATCAAAGTGAGAATCTTCAATACGAATGTCAAGGCAGTTCTACTGTATGGAGCTGAAACTTGGAGAACTACAACAACCACAATCAAGAAAGTACAAGTATTTATAAATAGCTGTCTTCGCAAGATACTCAACATCCATTGGCCGGATACCATCAGCAATAGCCTTCTGTGGGAGAGAACAAACCAACTTCCAGCTGAAGAAGAAATTAGGAAAAGACGATGGAAATGGATAGGACATACATTACGCAAATCGTCAAACTGCATCACGAGGCAAGCCCTAACTTGGAATCCTGAAGGGAAGCGAAAAAGAGGAAGGCCAAAGAAGACATTGCGTCGGATAATAGAAGCAGATATGAAAACGATGAACTACAACTGGACGGAGCTAGAAAGGATTGCCCAGGACAGGGTTGGATGGAGAACGCTGGTGAGCGGCCTATGCTCCTTCACGAGGAGTAACAGGCGTAAGTAAGTAAGTAAGTATTTGTTAAGATATATTCATATAATTTAATTAGATTCTCTATTAGAAGTTTCTTTGATTTTACTCATTTCATTTCATTAAAAGTATTCAAGAAGAACTAGGATCTTTGTGAAGTTTTTGATCAAAATAAAACGCATAATTTTATATTTTCTGTTTGAAAGAAGAATAAAAATATACATTCGTTTATTTGGAGTTTTTTATCATTGGGATTACTGATACCTGAATACGTCAAATGAACAAACATTAACAAATACTTGCATATTTTTCTCTTCAATCAGGTTCATATTAACCTGTTTTGATAATTACTCCATAAAATCCTAAAGATATAAATGAATGTTTTCATGATATTAAGAATATCATCTAGTTGTAATAACATATTGTATATCATTCATTATGAATGAAGATGTTCAATGTTAAATGTGAATAGTTTGTTTTGCCATTATTCTAAACATAATTCAAATGTTAGCTAATGAGTTCAATGACTGTACAAAATTATTAATAATATAATAATCATCATCATAAACACATTTACAATCATAATATTGTCTATATAAACTAAACATAGTTAATAATGGAAGAAAAATTTAATCACCATCTTTAATTAATCTGTCAAATATTTGTACTCCAGGAAATGTATAAGGCAATGCTATATCAATACCATCCATTACTCGTTGAGTACTTCTATAGCTAAACTTAAAATGGAATAAAAAAACAAAACAAATAAATGATATTATCAGAAGGGATTTTGTGGAGATTTTAGAAATTTCACTGGTTAAAGTCATGAGGCATTTGAAGCTAGACCACCATGGAAAACCTGGAAGCAATGGATGGCCATTTCATCCTAGTATGGGACTCCTCAGCTGTGCACATCCATGGTCCCGCACCCCGCGAGATTCGAACACAGGACCTATTAGTCTCGCGCGCGAGCGCCTAACCATTAGAGCACTGAGTTGGCATCCAGCGGTGTTAATGTCTAGCTTCAACCAATCCACAAAGTTGCGCCACTGTATACCATTGTCTTCAGTGAGCTAATATCTCACAAGAGACCTGGTTAAATATTAACATTGATCGTGGATGCGTACTGCTGAGGAGTCCCATACTAGGACAAAACGGCCGTTTAGTGCTTCCAGGTTTTCCATGGTGATCTAGCTTCAATTGACTCATGATTTCAACCAGTGAAATAAATGATACTTTACTAGATTTTTATTGAAAAACAAACAAACAAAGCATTGTAATAAAATAAAAACATTTTGTGTTACTGATATAAATTATAATAATGAAAATGAATAGTTTGAAATCAGTTAGACTTGACAAATAAAACAAATCATGATAAATAAGTATTTGATATGTTGATATGAGTAAACTAAGATTTGTTATTCCTTACATCATCGACTGATTTCAACTATGAGAGCATTGAAAACTGAAAAAAACACTGGACAACGGTTTAGTCTTAGTATAGAATTCACTCAACAATGAGGATTCATGACCCTATTTAGGATCGAACTCAAAACTTTCAGTTCTCGCAGTGAGTGGTTAGTCTCTAAATCACTGAGCCTGGATTCTATAATAAATATATCTAACTACGATCAGTTTAAGATATTGACCTATATGGTTGAACTTTACTGCTTCCTAGTTTTCAAATAATGTCAAACTAAGATCAGTCCTGATGTAAACTGTGGGAATTCAAGAATATGCATAATCTCCATTTACTAAAGTTTATTAGCTAAAATGAAGTAATAATAGAAACATGGGAAGACGATCGGTTGGAATACAAATAATCAACAAACTGGATGGCATATTAAAAAAATATTTTCCTTATTTCAGAGATAGTTAAAGGTATGGTGAAAACAAGTTTAAAAGATTTAGAAATTCGAATGGCGAATTCATTAGTTTTTTAAAATATTCAACTTAGTGGAAGGGGACTGTAAACATTTTGGAATTCGCTGATAATTATCTGCTTCTGAACTTTAAAGAACTCTGTAGTTCTATCGAGAAACCGTGACAGGTGTAGTTCAATCCTTGTCGAATGTGAGATAGTATTCCATCCCAGGCAACATATGAGAATTACACAATATCATGAATTATTTGAAGTCAGACATTAACACCGTTGGCTTCCACCTCAGTTTTCTAGAGATTGGGCGTTCGAACCTAAGACAGAGGTTTCTGGGTTTGATTCTCGATTGTGAGGTTGTGGATGTGCACTGCTGAAGAGTACCATAATAGGACGTTATACTTGTTATACTAGTGACATCACTTGTAATTGCAATAATAAATTTACATGTACCTGCAATAGCAGGTGCATAATAAAAACAGAGATTAGGGCCTTTAAAAGGTTTTCTGAATACATTCCTAGGAACCTACGGGTGAAAAGAAATAAGGTTTTAACAAGTACAATCGCCAGATATCATTTGAATGATAGATACGAAGCAGATGTAAGTAATGGATTAAAAATAATGTTCAGACAAATAAAAAACATCCTTCCTACTCCATTCGGCAGAGGCAATCGTCATCAAACGTTTCTGACCTTACTTATGTATACAAAATGAAAATGCGATTAACCTTTTCCTTCCATGGTAATTGGAGATTCATCTTATAACCCTTAGTAATTCTGACTTATAATCCTTTTATTTCAACCCTGTTTCCAATTCTTTTATTTTTATTATTCTTTCGTCGTTTGATATTCATCTGTTACATAATCTGATTGATCTCTACATGTCTGTTTATTTTGTCATGTCGGGTGATTACCCAATCACTTATTAATTTCATTACCGTTACATAACCTCTGAAATATTACTTTCCAGTACATAAATACACGTCAATCTTAAATATGTTTATGCACATACTTTGTATCCTTATTCTACTTATTATTATGATTTCCGTAACATTTCGCACATTTATTTAAAATTCACAAACAAAAGCATGTTAAACATCAAATGATGAGGAGAGTTATTCATATCAAGTATTGGATGTAAGGGGATATTCTTCTTATGAACTTTTGGGAGCGGAAACCGGTGGTCTAAGATGTTCATAGAGTTCATAGTTGGTACTAAACTGATCTTTATCCTCCCTTAGGATGCTAAGCACTTAGTATTAATGGTATTATTTATTATAATTTTAGTTTGTATGAAACGGATGAGAAGCTGTTATAAAGAATGAATTCATTTTCTTCTTCAAACCTCAAATCTTTTTTCCTTTTTATTCTGATACTGTTTACAAGATTTCAGTAGATGAGCAGGATAATAAAAATAAACACATAGAAAAACCACCCTTACTTGTCCAGATCGTGGGTGATAAAATTGAGCTCCTATTCTTGAGAGTAGTTCATCCACAAGGACCTTAGTAAGCTTTGGATGGCTTTTAAATGTGCTAAAAGTTAACATAAAATTTGTTAATCAGATAATTATAATTTTTTGGTTGAGATCATGAATTAATTGGTGTTAGACCGCCGTTGGAAACCTGGAAGCACTGGACGGCCGTTTCGTCCTAGTACGGGACTCCTCAGCAGTGCGCACTGCTGAGGAGTCCCGTACTAGGACGAAACGGCCGTCCAGTGCTTCCAGGTTTCCAACGGCGGTCTAACACCAATTAATTCATGATCTCAACCAAAAACTTAACAATCTCCACAACCCCCATACCGATAACTATAATTTATCGTCACTACTGATTGATCACTGAGTGGTGATCACTGTCATGCTTGTCTAGTCCTTATTAGTGCAGATCTAATGCTATCGATCATGTTGCAATGTGGCCACCAGTCTAAGTGACCCGACACTGCGGGCACTATGTATTGAGATCTAGATGGTGGTTGGAGGTAATCAACAGGAAACCCTGGACCCGGGTTTCGTGCTACTCGGCACTCGTCAGCAAGGTGTACCTGTAATCTTTAGGGAACTGGTGCTCCCTAGCGGATAGGTCGGATAGCTCAGTGGTAACATCTCTGACTGTGAAGATGGGTGACACGAGATCGAATCCGCCTGGGAGCACCAGTTCCCTAAAGATTACAGGTACACCTTGCTGACGAGTGCCAAGTAGCACGAAACCCGGGTTCAGGGTTTCCTGTTGACTACCTCCAACCACCATCTAAATCTCAACTATAATTTATAGTGTTCTGGATAAATATGCACATATAAGAGTAGTTTTACAACTATAGTTGACGACATGTATCAGTAATTAAAATTTTAAAAAGCTCTGTATACTGAGAATGTAATGGTCTGGTGACACAGATAACCTACTAGAATTCATGAACTTTCATTTTATAATCACTAATGATAAAAGATTATAAGTATCTTTTTAATTGAATGTGAACTAGAAAACATCCATACAAGATCGATAGATCTTAGTTCTTCAATTTCGAAATAGTTTCCATCAGGATCTGGCATCAGCTGAAGTCAATGAAAAATACTGAGCACCGGACAATTGCTCAGTCTATGTTTTAGGTTCTGAAATTCATACATTTCAGCAAATTAATTGAAGTTGGAGATGTAAGGCACCGAGTATTGATTCGGTGGTTTAAAGGTTGGGCGCTTTCTATGAGTCTTACAGGTGTCGGTTTTGATCTCTGGAATGGCTGTTGATGGAAATGACTAAAGAGTCTTATATTAGAACAAAGTAACATCCCAATGCTTCATAACTGATTATTATTTTAACGTTTAAGAGTAAAGGTAATTATATATAATTATTGATCACAATAGTAGATTAACATAATTGCTTTAGAAAATTATATTGCATTGAAAAGGATTTAATACATAACATATCTACCTTGAATTAGTCAGATTTTTATTTGATTCATATTGCTTTCTGTGTTTTTCCACTTCAGTGTTAATTTTTGTTTGCATAATATCATTCAATTTCTAGAAACGGAGTAGAAATGGAAAATATTTAACATAAATAAAAAGAATATTTTGATAGATCACTTTAACCATGATAGAGGTAGGTGCATTTGTCGTTTAAATGTAGGTTCTGTCAAATGAGATTATAGTATACTATTCTGAACTATTAAAGAAAGGAAGTAGTAAGAATGCATTAGAAGTACAAATGAATCATTCCGAGTTATCTATAATGGTGATAAGATTGTCGATGACAATGCCTATTCACTTTTCCTTCATTTCAATAATCTACCAAAGATATTATAAATCTTTAGTTATATTTGAAAATGATAATTATTTGGCTTTTTCTGTTACCATGGTTATCATTTTTAGTTCTACAAATCAATCACCTCTTTTATGCTCTTTTAATCTGTTACCTGAAATCGGGTAGTTTCCTGTTCCTATGATTTTTCTGATTATAATATTTATTAGACTCAACCTTACATTTTATACAATCTGTTCTTTTTCGAAATACAAACCAATTTTCTTGTATTTTTGTTTCTTTGCTATTCTTTTCATCGAGTAATGATGACGTATAATCCTGTGATAGGTTTTTTACTGGGAAAAACTTATTTCCAGATTCATACATTCATGAATGAAATGATCGACTAGAAATCGGTCTATAAATCATTGGGAATGAGCACAGTATCAGTTGATCGGTTTTCCCTAATCCGTCATAGAATTTTGTAATAACATACGCAAAGGTAATCGCCTAGACGTTTCGTAATTAAGCTAACGTAAATTGTGTCAATTCCTTGTTTAGTTATGTCGTATAGTATGAAATGTACAATGATAAAGTATTGTTTATTAGTTAGTATCATTGTATTTTTGTACGTATAGTATCACAAATAATTAAATTGGAATCAGCTAATACTTCATTGACACTTTTCGAGGCTTCATACTAAAATATAACACCAACATCATTTTGACATTCAGTCAGCATTACCTTGTTACACATACTTTTAACGTTGATTAACTTTAGGTTGTAAGGTTCTTATGAGAGTGTTGATTGAAATCAAAATAGTTACATGTAATATTACATAAATTTCCTTTTTGTGTGTTTCGAATTTAAAAACGTGAAGGAATCTTAGAAAGTATGAAACATTCCAAAGTTTATGGAATAAAATGATGTACATTGACAAGCTGTCAACAAATCTTATCTTTAAATTCAACGTTTTTTTGTTATTTTTGACAAAGTTTTCTTGGTCATACATCTTTATTTCGATAAACCTATAGCTTAGTTCAGTCCAAGTTAGTGCAACATTCCAAATTAAAAACATGCTTAAGAACACAGGTTATTGACTAGGTTGGCTATAACGACCTGTTCGTCACATAGTATATTTGCTAAGTAAGGTATTAAAGAACTTTTCTACTTTTGCTTGCGTGCATGGATTTTAATGTAATTACGTCTCGTTCTTCCAGAAGATATACAAGTGGAAAAATATGAGTGAAGGGAATGGTTAGTATCTGATAAGATAACACCTGTCAGGAATTTACAAGAGTTTAGATGTCTATCCACAGCCATATTAATAATAAAGATTCACCACACACCTTGCTAACTGCTTTGAACACTCTCCGCAATACAGCAAAATCTTTTCTCAAAAGCCCGGGAAAGAACAATGGAGAACAGTAATGAATAATATGTAATATGCAAGAATTGACAAATTGTAAGAGTAAATGACGAGTGATCCCAAAAGCATGAAGTCTCTTTATATAATAAGTCAGATGGAAAACTTTCTTCGATAACAGTAAAATACGAGAAGACCAAGAGAAAACAAAGGAAAAAGTGACACCAAGATAATTGACCTTCGACACCGTGTTTATCAAAGAGTCTTTAATGGCACAAGCATTATGGGATCTCAAAAACGTTTTTGGATGCCTTTGGGTGAAATAAGCATTATACTTGGTAAGAAATCGATTAATCAAATAAATAAACAAATAATTAAATTTTGTATTACTTCCTACTTACTTTTATAAAAGTAGCATCGGCAACTATTTTTTCTAATTGATCACGATTTTCAACTACATTTAATGGTACGATTGATTATGAAAACAAAATGGGATTAGAGTTTTAAGTTATGCAAATGTCAAAACAAAAATATGTTATTGATGTGTGGACTGAATGATAATGATTAGTTCTCTGCTTAGTCGAACATGTAGATAGTCCGACAGGTGTCAGATGAGTTATATATTCCCCAATCCCTATTATTATTACTCTTTTATTATTGATTGTTCATTGCTGTTGGATTGTGTCGTGTTTTTGATGTGGAAATACATTTACGTTGTGGTCAGGCTAATCACGTGTTCTTGATCTGAGTTGTGTTGAAGTCCTGTAGAATAGACACTAGGAGGGAATCTAGTGTAGATATTCGTCTAAGGTAAATTAACGTCCCATATGTGTAAACGTGGAAACCCAACCGTTATAACATTAGACGAAGTAAAACCGAGCGTTATAACAGTTATGACTTGTCTATGGTTGGAGATGAAGAAAGTAAATACGTATGCTTCTAAATGTATATGCATGTACTAATCAACAACCAAATTTTACACATTATCGATACTCAAATTATATTAAATAATACTTGAACATTATTTCATGATTTTTACTATAAAGAGATTTGAAGAAAAAAACGTTTCAACGAGAAATTAGTTTTTATTACAGACTAATATCAAACTGAAAATCGTTGAACATCAGGTAATCAATGAATAACTGCTTTGTACTGGTTTGTGACTATACATATGATCAACCACGGGAACTTTAAGTATTGTGGTAAAAACAAAGCCTATAGACCATTGAGATAGGATTGAATAAACATTCTGCAGCTTAAATAAAAGCTTACCTTAAAGTGAGTAATTTTAGGAAGCCCATAATTCAGTGGTAGAAATAATCAGATACTGAGTAGTAAGTAGCTTCTAAATAGGTTCCGAAATTTCTGGTGAGCAACTGTACACTGGTTACTTATTGTCCGGCTGATATTAGTTAGGGATATAATTGAACTGCATATTATCTTTTTATTAGGATCCATATTTTATAAGCAGAATTTTAAAGAGTTAGCTGTGTGACTTAATGACCACTAACATAACAACAACATTTATTTTAGACAGTGTAAACGTTTCTGAATTTCCCGTTTTTAGGTATCACTTTCAACGTATAGATAGACATTTCAAGATTTATAATATTAGCTTCAACAAGTAGCAGAATTCTAATAACAAATATACTACTTGTGATATTCCGATTAGTAGAAAATTGTATTTCTGATATTTCGCAACTTAATGGAAGCTATTTCTTTAGGGCAAGGAAATAACCGAAATCAAAAGTATAAATTTGTTCTTTTATAATGTTGATATCTGATGTTAACAACACCTTGAGTTTACTTGTAGTCTACTCTAACAAGCTTCATCAAATACTCTTGTTAAATGTAAACATTGTGTATCATGATATTGGTAATGGTTTTTATTTTTCAGTTGTAGATGTTAAGGACTGCAAATGATCAATCACTTTAAACACATATACACCGTTAGCGGACCACCTTGACGTTGACTTTTCAGTCAGTCAGTAACAACGTAGAACTTCGTATGTACGTACATCAGTTCGGGTTACCCTACCACATTATGTTGACTTTTAGTTATAATCAGAATATGGCTAACATCTGAGTCCACGACACATTACTTAGACATTATATCTTACAGTATACTTGGTACTAAATCAGTTTTAATATATATTTATTTCGAGATCGATTATCGTTTTGTCAGTTCAGCATACAGGAAATATTGGAAATCGAATTAGTCAGTACTCTTATATTTTTTGCTTGAAGTATGTTGATTTAGCTGTTGCTCAAAATGTGAGTGCCACTTTATCGCTAACAGTTAAATTATTCTAGACAGTTTTAGCTCCATTTTCATAAGAATAAATTTCCTATTTATACATATCAAAGTTAATTCAAAAATCCAGTAGAATGCCTTGGGTGAATTAGGTGTTGAATGTTACTACCGTTTCTCTTTAACATGTAGTGAGCGTGAGCTATTCCAAAAACATCTGTGGGTTTCAATAGTTTAAGTAAGATTGAGGTTTGATTTCACTCAGGCTTCATTAGTCTTTGCAAGCGCAATTTTCTTGCTTATTCTGTCATATAGGTAAACAGAAATAGATGATAAGTGAATAGTTGTGAGATTTGAACCGTGAAGAATTTTTTTAAACAAATATAATCTTGCATATAAGTAATGTGTTTGATTTTACTATAAATCAATGAGTTGATCTGTTTTTCAAACTGTAAATAAATCAAAGAACTGACGATACTTTGGATAGTTCCCAAAAACCTTGAAAAATCGGACGTCATTTACTACAGTGATATATGATCACATGGGTTTGTTAAAAAAATGGTTCAATAAATGAAGATTTATACTCTGACATTATTAAACGACGTCATCTTATCAAGTATCAACTGTTTCTACAGAAGCAGTAAACTGTCTCCAAATAAATGAAGCAGAACCTGATCACTGAAAGTTAAATATTGTGACTCAGTTTTTCACTAAAAACTTGTTTGATTTCTAAGAAAAGAATTTTACTAATGATCTTAAGTCGGTGCGGAAAAGATTTTAACTGATATATCTTTTAATTTTTACATTCTTATATCATTTGAAGGAATCGACCATTATGTTTAACCCTAGTGATCTAAGCTGATAAAACGAGATAGATTAGTATGATACTGTGGTATTCAAACATCAAATGTCAATAACTTCTTGGCAATAGTTATATTTGAAGACTTTATTATTCGAAATTGTACTACTCTTATTACCTGTTTTATGAGTGAACTTCCACCATTTACGCAGTTCATTGACTACATTGCTACCTTGGATTAAATTAAAGCTATTTTGCTGGGATTTATTTGAATTAAATGTTGACAACTTTGAACTGTCCATAATCACACCAGGAGGAGGTAACTGATGTAACCAGTTTCTTAAACGAGTCAATAATATTCGGATTGTATGAGGTAGTAATGCTTCTTGAGGACTTTCATAATCCAAATAGGCTGGTTGACGAGAAAATATTTTAGCATTGTTTGAAGGACGCCATCGTTTGGCTGGATCAGGTGAACGTGGAAAGTATAAGCCACAGAGAGCGCTTGAAGAAACGGGAGAATCGCTTGGTTTAAACATTGCAGGAAGTGTTGAGTACTATGTATTATGGAAAGAGTTAGAAAAGAATGCTAATTAGTAAAATTGATGTTTACAACATAATTATATTACTGAGTTTTACACAGTTGTTTCTCTCTATCTCACACCTCAGGAAGCACAGTATCTTCACTCAGTTTCACCAGTGAGCTTCCACATCATTTCTAAGTTGGTTGAATTCAAAGATTGTAGTTTCTCACCATAAATTCTATCTTTAAGTATCTTAACAATGAGAAACACATAAAGACATAAGGCTTGTTCCTAAAATCCATGTAGAAGTATGATGTCAATTTTACTCATCCCAATTATATTTAATTGTGGATTTACAATGTCTTTCAAATTAGGTTCCAAATAAATCTGACTAAGCTATCACAATAACACTGAACAAGTAAAAAGTGCGGTTTAATCGCAGAAGATACTTATGTAAGGAGATAGAAATTTGTTTTCAGCATTGTTTTCTTTTATTTACTAATTAAATTTTAGGAATAAATCGTTTGGTCCTTACCTGAACTAATTAAAATAATTTGTTGTTCTTAATTTTCTAGCAAAAGCTGCCATATTTAGCTGACTCGGATGGACAATTTTGGTTATTTAATGCAAATTATCACGATTTGAGTGTTTTTTTGAGAGTATTTCATTTCCAGTTAGGTTGAGATGCTTGTGGGTATCAGATATCCAGCAGGAGAAAAGTTTATTAAGCAATTAACAGTTTATGAGAATGAAACTGTCTATTATCAATGATACATATCCTAAATTGAATGGTTTTTATTTGAAATGCTTGTGCAAAATGAAAGGAATATCAGAGCGACTAACAACATTATCATAATCAAAAATATCTGTTTCTTAAAATATTAAGTATCTAGTAGTATGGGCAAGGTATTGGCTATGTATCTGAGTCCATCGTTCATGTCCACTTATTGGGAGTTATATGTAGTGACAGCATGATCTTTGTATCAAAATCACGTATAAATAAATCGTTATTGATGAGTGGAGCCGATTATTTCATCGTTCGATGGAAAATCAGATAAGGAACATCCGTTCTTTACTGATTTCTAGAGTTGTAATCTTTGTCGGAATTGACTTTGTGTATACGACTGACATTCATCACACAAGACGTCTCCAGTGTGTATGACTGTGTTTAAGCAATCAACACATCCGTGCCTATTCAGAATTTATCACTAGTCTCACCTTATATGTAGTTTCTCAATATATGTACCAAACATAATTAAGCTTGGGTGCAAATAGCAGATGTAGCCTTACGTACCACTTCATTACAAAGCTTGATTAGAGGGACTTAACTAATCGTTTTTCAAATATAAGTATTATCATAATTATTATTCAACACATGTGCTCGACAGTTATCTGTTCTAACTGTAATGCCACCTAGAATTATGCTCGACTAACAAAACACTCAAATATTTTAGGTGAGTAGTCTAACTTACAAACTTAATTACTATATTCCAGATGATTGAATACACAATAATAGTGTTTCAGAATTTTCCTTTCATTAATTAAGCAGAGGATGGAAATACAATATTACATATAACTTTCATTACAAAGTTTGTTAATTGTTTATGTTTTTCAATGAGATCATGAACCGACTAATTTTGAACCACCATTAAGAACCTGTAAGCAATGGACGGTCGTTTCGTCCTAGTATGGAAGTCCTCATCGGTGGTAAGCTGACATTGATTAATTCATGATTTCAATGAGATTCAACAAGCTCTACAGCCCCAAACTGAACGTTATCTATATCTTTAAATGAGATTTAGTTTTAATTTTATTATTACAACACTGAAGGTAGATCTGGATGATACTAGATCACAGTGACATCCTTCTCATTATTAACGTATAATAACAAAACGCATCTATTTATATCTTATAATAAATGTGCTTCCTTCTAAAAACCTATAGTACATATTCTCTAATAGCATCTATTTATAAATTTCATTGACATAATTTGAAACACATATACTTTCTTACTGATATAGATCACTTGCTAGCCTATTAAAATACGCTTCACATTTCATATCATGAAGTGGATTCGAACTACATTATTTATACTTTTGATATAACGTCACATGATTTCATATATCAGTTGTTGTCATCTAATTTATCCGTTTATTCAGTTTTTCCATAAAAGATTGATTGACACCAGAATCAATCACAGAAGTAGCTCTCATGTGGTATAGAAATTTAAAATTCGAACCATCACCCCTATTCTCTTGACACCTTGTCAAGATTTTTATTATGAAGGGGTTTAAACAATCGCGATTATGATGAACGGTTTTCGGAATGTTAAAGTAAATGCACAGAATGACATATAACAGATAAACTAAATAGTACTATGTGATCGAATGATGAATGATCATGAGACTCGATCATAGGCATGAATCTTTGGATTAACTGAGATCAAAGACAACATCACTAGCCAAAGCAATGAAATATTCAACACAAGAATAATTATAATTGGAAGTCGATTGGAAGATAAAAATAAATTATAAAATACTCAACGTTGAAGATACTCGAGTGTTGATGAAACTAAGACTTAATTATTAAGCTTAACTTTTATCCAAAATATCACTTATTTACTTTATGAATGAGCATAGTGTTGATCGTATTGTCTCAAATTAAAAATCATGAATTTAATCTCAAAAAATGTTTTATTTCTTACACGTTTAGAATTATGTAATAATTTTGTAATACGTGAGAATAGTTGACGACGAGCACGACCATGACACATGATTAGGAATTCTTCAAATCGTTTTTGAAGTCTGTTAAATAAATAATTAAGAGGGTTGAATACTTGTCGCTGTTCTAAAATAAACATTGAGTAATCAATATGCGATTCAAACGATTGGAAAATAAATGAGCTATTGATAAGTAATGATAGGTCTAAAATACGGATATAAAGGAATGACTGTATAGGTTTCTACTTCTATAAAATAGTTGAATATTTTATATTTAACTATAGTAGCTTCAACATTTACCAAACTAGCCATATTTTTTTATGAATGTAATATTCTTAGGAAAAGCAAGTTTTATGAAAAAAGTCCAAAAGTTATATCATTTTCTTCGAAAGGGAGGTCAATAGTTGACTTTTATTTGTTTATGAGTATCGTTACTCAAGGCGGCCTCCGTGAATATCTGGGCTACCTATTCCTCCGATCTAGATATTTCATCAAGTTATCTGTTTTGTTGTTTGTTTTAGCACATCATTATGTCTATTGTGCACACAATCTATTCAGGCGCGTTTATGAAAAGTTTACAACCTTTCGCTATACGGGATACAAAAAGGTACAATCAGCAATATGCATTGAAACGAATGAACATTAATCAAATGTGGATTACCGAACTCCTCACATCAAACTGGTCATCATTCAAAATTTATCATCACAATCGATCAAGGTATAAGAAAAGGAAACTTGTTGAAATACTTTATGCTGAGAATTCTATGTTGTACCAAAAATATAATGTTGAATAAAGCTTCTAATAATAATGATAATAATAACAATAAAAATACTAAGTTGATGTGAAGAAAAATATCAACTTTTGAGTACCACAGACAAAACCAAAGCGTCACGAAATGACAACTGCAACCACATATTACTATGTGAACATTCTAGTTACGTGTTCTTAAGGTAAACTACAAAAAATATAAGTTCTGGGATCTTTATATTATTTAAAGAAGAACCAATTTCTCATTTTATTGCTTTAAAAAATAAAATAGATTTCAACAAAAGTATATTGGAAGGCCATTACGTCCAAACCCATCAATGTAATTTATATTAATAGGTGGGAAACTTGCTGTTTTGTTATCATAACATGCTACCATCACCTTGTTACAACCATTATGAGCTATTTGCCATTAAAACAGAAATTACATCATAATATTGAGTTACTAAGTCATAATGTCCACGATGTCTTGTTCAAATGGTAGAGTTGCTTATACTACGATGTTTACAACTCAGTTATCACTCTGTGTGTTATTTTATACTTAGTTTGAATGTTTAACACTCATATAACATTTCACTCAGAGTTAAAAAAATGTCCTACTCAGTAGGACTTCATTGATCTACAAGAGAGAATTTATCGATTCTTTATTTTTTACCCAAATACCCTTAAATGATTCTTTATAGGACATAACAACTCAACAAATAAAGAATTATTTGCCTCTTTTTATATTTTGTGACACATTCATTTAAATCCTCAATAATTAAATGCACCGTTGAATACCTAAGCCTAAATGATGTTTTTAATTTAGAAATTTAGTAGTTTAAACAAGTCAAATGGTAAAAAGGTATTTAAAAATCGACAGCTGACATTCACTTTAGTACCAGTCGTTAGTATTACTAAGTTAAACTGTAATATATGATCTATGCTTTGATGTATGAATGTTTTGAATTGTAATGCTTGGTGTTTAGTGAGTCAAATTATTGGGAAATGTTCTAAGAATTTTCTCTATGTAATTTAACAAGGCAACAAAGAGGAAATGTCAGTCTTTCCCACTTGATAATTCTTGATCTAAAGTTTTATACATTCAGCTCTACAATTACTGATGTTACAATCAAAACTCCTTGGGATAAATTTATAGGATATCTATTTGATGACAGATAATTTCAGATTTATAACTTACTGTTTGAGAATTAGTTTTTCACCAAACTCAGTAGAAACATCGAGGAATAGTGACGGAATTGCATGTCCGGGATTACTTATCTTTGTACATAAAAAATGAAACATTAAAATAATTGTATTCGGCATAATTCTGAAACTTTAACGGTTAAACCAAATGGTTATCGACTTCTATAATTTTAGAAGTACATTGTAAATAAAAGTAGATGAAGCTGAGCTCGTATAATCAGAGACATTTTCTTAGTATTCTAGTAGCAACGGTTGACTCAATTACAAAGACCTGTTTGGTTGCGTAGTGAACGAACATTCATATGTGGAAGGTTAATTTATTGTTTAATGCACAATCTCACAGTAGTTTAATAATATGTGAAAATCATATATCAAATACATCATTAGCACATCTTCTTAGATTGTCTCTTACAAACTTCAATGTTAATTCATTCCTGTTGTTATCATGGGTGTTTTCAGTTTCCTTCTCTTTTCTATTCATCTAAATCTTCTCAACCTTCTGCTTGCAGGCATTCCACCTACGACTGATGTGCATACTACATATATGCAAATCTAAGTAGTATACACAACCGTAGTAATTTAAACTTAAATCTCAATATGTCTACATTCCTCTTAGCATTCATGCTCACCAATCCCCCTCGTATATACTAACCACCTATTTTATTTTGTGCTATGAGAACATTTAAATAAAGATTGCACCATCATAAATAATAACCTAGAGAACATTTTGAGTTCTCTTTTAATATTATTTATTTATTTACTAAAAGTAGTATCTAAAAGAAGTTGAATTTTCTGTGAAGTGCAGGTAAGCGATAGGGATAATAGTAAACATTTTATATAAATCATCAGAGACTGATATCACCTGTACTACTATTTCAAACAGGAAAGAATTCAAGGCGTGCATAGTGTTCACTCGTTACACTATAGCACTGTACGATCACAAGCTCACAGAAAATTGTGACCAAGTCCTTTAAGCTTTACAGTAGACTCTACACAACTTGAGTACTTAGTCAAAATACCAATGGTCATCATTGTCTAGACTAATTAATAAGTGCTGTGGTATCTTGAAGCTTTCCAAGTTTTTGATTAAAGTCTTACCCTATTAAAATTACTGCTTCGGTTATTAGGCAATTATGCACCGATTATATTACCTTTTGACAGATTTTCATTTCTATGCTGTAAATCATCAATTAATTTATTCCAAGTAATTCCTAACAAACAGCCTCACTCTAATCAGTCACAAAATAAATAGTGAATTGTAAATTCTGCTAAAAGCCTTCTAAACTTATCAACTAATCATATTCTCTTTAATCAGAAGAGATTGTTCCATTAACAAATCGACAAAGACCATAGGAACTGATTGGGAGTTTTCAACTGACATATATACTTACATTAAAAAACTTCATTTCATTAATCTGACAGAAACAAAACTAATGGCATCAATAGAAATAAGTTAGGCCAATCAAATCACAATTAATATCTGATTCCATGTCATCTTAATATGTTTTGTGAAGTGTAATATTAGGGACAAACTAATGTATAAATGTCGTTGCATATAAATGCATAAATTTACCTGCCATGCATGAGGATTTTGATTGGATGTGATCCTATAAAAGTGATTCATATGTAGTTTGCATTTCATCTGTATAAAGAAAAGGAAATTTATTAAAAAAAGACATACATCAGTTATATATGAAAAATGACTGATGTAAATTATAGTTAGTAAATTGTAAGTATTTCATTTTGATCTAGTTTAGGGGGTACAAATGTTTAAACAACTTTCTTTATGTAATTAAAATGTCATTCTTCTATCTCATGTACTATAACTTGTTTTATTGTTCTAAATGAAACTGATTGAATGAGTGTACTTGGAGACATCTGTGTCAGACGTTAATAACTCTAATATGTTCATTTAAGGAATATGCTAGTGAGCGGTCTAAAGACACAGTTCTCATTAGTCTTGATTAAAAAATCCTGGGTTTTATTACACACATCATTTTAGGTATATAATGGTACAGATAGACGTAACAGATCTTCAGTGATCCCTAGATTTTATTTCATTTAACCCTACTAGGTAATATGGCTGGACTTTATTCCATGTTATTTGGTAGTATCAACACATAGATAGCTCGAAGATGAACATGTAGACTTTCATTTGGTTATTGCATAATATTGATAATAATCAAAAATTACACTTTCTGTAAATATAATGCATTTTGCTAGAACAAAATTTTTAAATGCATGCATTCTTACATTCTTGTAAAATTTATCTTTCTCACTTTCGCTCTCTCCCTCGACGACTCTAAATGAGCATTAGAATTACCAGATGAAATCATCACATGAATTCACTTGTCATATATGATATGGTGTACTTAATTACCCAACACCATACATTACTTATTGTGAAATGTTCAACCGGGTCACTTGTGAGGTAGTAACTCACTGATGATAATGGTGGATGTGTCGCTTAATTTTGTGGATTAGCTGAAGTTAGACGTTAACATTGTTGGATACTGGCCGGCTCAGTGGTCTAATGGTCAAGCGCCTGGAGAGAGACTGATGAGTCCTGGGTTCGAATCCCGCGGGGCGGGGTCGAGCATGCGCACTGCTCAGGAGTTCCACGATAGGACGAAACGGCCGTCCAGTGCTTCCAGGTTCTCCATGGTGGTCTAGTTTCAATTGACTCATGATCTCAACTGTTGAAATTACTACAATCTCCACAAAACCTCTTCTGATTCTTAAAATAAGTTTTGTGTTCATATGAATGAAGATTGTTTATTTTGATGTTAAAAAACTCATGAAGTAATTCTCAAGTACACTCTTATGTTTTTAATTAACTAAAATTTATGAAATTCGATGTTTCAATGAAACATAAAATTGTAATTCAAGTGTGTTTTAGCCACAGTTATCTTAAACAAAAGCATTTTTCTTTATGATTTATTCATATTTATGACTGTTCAATAAATGAAAGGCGAAATGAATAGAATACAGTTAAATGATTTTCCATCCGGTATCGAATTACCATTGTAATATACCAGTTCTGACGATAGTGATCATAATTTCGATTAGTTCACTTGTTTAGTTCGATGATCATCTCATATTGGATGAATAGACGTATGTTTATGAGTTTGATGACCGATGATCATGTGAATAATTTATGTATGTACACTCGATTGACTGAAACAGAACTTTAGAATGTTGATAAAAGTTTTAGTTAAACGTGGGTTACAATATGATGTTCTGAGAATTCTATGTTGTACCGAAAATATAATACTGAATAAAGCCATCAATAATAATAAACAGGGTTGTTCGACTTAATTGCTTCTTATTCAATTACGGTTATTCATGAACCACTAAGTGCTGTAACTAGGGTTCATTTGAATGACAAGTATACAGCTAACCAATCAGGGCATTTCTGTCACAAGCACTAAAAAATTATCTAGAATAGATATTAATGAATGATTCGTTCCTTTCTTTCATAATGGTTGCGGTTACTATACTGACCTATGTATATGGAGACTACTTACAGAGTTTTCCTGATGTTCCATCACTCACTAATTTTAACTAACTTTATTTTTGTTGATTTTGTAAAACCTGGTTAGGCAACTGATTGAAAATGTGAAAATGTCACTGTCAGGTGTAACAATAGTCGGTGACTGAAATGTTATTCAAACCCATTGGATAGCCAAACAGAAAAACTGACAGTAAAGTGCGAGTTTTGATTCAAATTCTAGTCTTATTTCAACATCAATCAGAATATCTGTTGTTGAGGACGTTAGATCCCCAGAACTCACTTGGAAAAAATCCTAATTTTGTAATTTTGTTCTAAAAATTTGAGTGTTATGTTTTCGCTCCAAAAGACGTTTAGTTGACCTATAGCTTACATTTCCCACTCGGAAACTCTTGACTGTCATTGGTTGACGGATTTTTTAGTACGTTATTTTGTGGCTCTTCCAAGGGCGTTTCTATCATTGTATAAATAAGCTTGATTTGTGTGTTTAGTGACCTCGTATTTTCTAGGCACTTGTAGAATACATTCTCTACGCCTCATCAAAACTTCTTGATCTAGTTAGCAGGGCCGAGGACAACGGATCTGTATCTTTGACCTTCGTTCCGTTTACCGAGTAAGGTGAACTTGTAATAACATTCAAGCATATCATCTGTATGTTACAGGCTGACAATTATAATAATTTAAATATTATATAAAAACATAAGCCCTCTGTTCTATAATGTGCTTCTCAGACAGAATTATTTGGTTGAGTTTTGAATACTGAGTCATGAAAATTTCAAACACAAGTATGTTTTTCCTTAACTTTATGATTACAGTGAACCAGAGAAAATGGGGGTTCCTTCAGTGAAATGCCGTTTGTATTAGTTTTTAATATTTAAGTTGACTTGAAATAAGATTACTCAGATTAAATATTCAACTTGCTTGTAAAATTAATAAAAAATATGCATAAAATTACCTGTTTTGATTCAAAATCTGTTAAAGCTCTAGCTAGAATAGTTTGTCCTTTTTTTAAAGGACGTACACGATGATAAATTGAACCGAGATTATCCAATAAACGATCACATAACTTCAGTGCTTTTAAATGATCTGCCAATGTTTCTTCAAAATGCTGTTCTAAGAAATAATAAAACATAATATGTATTTATGTGAAAAAATCCTTACAAATATAATAATAATGACATACTGGAAATCGTATAGCATAAGGTCATAATGAGTTTGAAACTTCAGTTGTATGTTATAAAAATGAAGTTTGTAAGAACTGTGTTTGATCGTAAAGTGCCGACAATTTTCATAAACAAAGTCGAACGAATAACCCGAACGATATTATCTTCAACAATATTTAAACGATTAATTTGACAATAATTATACACCAATTATATAAAAGACATTATTTGTGATATTTGAAATAATCTCAGCGATTTCAACGTTTCGTCCAACAAACGTGTCTAGACTTCTTCAAACTCATAGTTAAAATCAAAATGACCAGAGTATATAAATATGGCTAGGTAGGCTTTTAGTATAGATTTGATTGTCGAACGTCCTTGATTATCTGATTATTTTAGTTTTAATTGCTTTGAAGCAGTATAAACAAGATTGCTGGACGAAATGGTGAAATTATTCAAATGTCAATCACTGAGAATATTTAACGTGTGACATTTATACATAAGACTATCTTTAGTAATTCAATGCAGTTCTACAAATATCTGAACTAACAGAAAAAAGACAATTCCTAGATCTAAACATGCTTATCTAAACAAATACCATTAAAATGAATTATTTTCAAGTTCAGTAGAAAAACAATTGACTGTAAAGACTTTGTAAAGAAAGTAGCAAACAGTGGATATGAAATAGGGGCCAACAGTGAATAACCGATAGAAGGTATATAAAGTTAAACAGATTATACATTTTAATAGCATCATCATTGTTCAAGTATATTGGAGTCAATGAAAGGACACAAAAAGATTATTTTTGTCTGATCATAAAAGAATGAACTAAACATCGGTGAAAGTAAACGTCTAATTATTCGATGAATTCACTGTTTGTGTTGTATATGTCGAGGAGACATCTAGACAATTAAAATTATTCAATTTAGGTTGTTTGAACTTGCCTAATTTATGTATCGGTTCAAGTTAACAAACTATACAACAACTGTTGACAATGAAAAAGAATCTAATGGAATAAACAAAAATGCATTCGGAGAGAAACGAAGGGAATTGGCAATGTTATATCATTACTCTAAAGGTTTTAAATAGTTGTCCCCGAGAAGTTGCTCACTTAAGTTTCAGAAAATATTGAACTATTACGTAACATAATAATCCTCAAAAAATTTCAAATAGATGACATTATTTCAAAGCAATTAATCCTTTTGATAACTTTGAATAATGTAATAAGAAGATGGAGATTATCAGAACTAGTCTAGTTGACCTTTTTATTTTTATATATAAATGTTCTTAACAAGTGTATTAGGTGTGATCAAATTGTTCGAAATGTATTGCGCTAATATATCACCACATAGGTGTGATAATCTTCGTGTTCTTATTACATCATCGACATTATTTCAGTTTAATAAGTTTTCAGATATATTGCTAAATATTTCAACTTCTGTTATATCCCGATAAGAATAATGAATAGTAGTTTTTGAGATCCATTTATGGACCAATACTATGAGCATATTTTTATCGTATAATTGTTATGTAACTAAACTGTTCATATTCATGTCGCTCTTATTATAAGTTTTAATTTGACCCATAGACTATTACTATACGATTTACCATTCTTGAGTTATGGCCTGTCTGTTAATTACTATCTCCCTCATTCACAACCACTTTTAACCAAATATTGTACAAATGTTATTTTCTATTTTATGGTACGTTGTGGTCTGTTTGATTGGTATATAAACCGAGTATGTTTGAAATAGATGATTTATATTGCAGAAGCTGAGATTGGTGTTCTGGGCTTAACTGGCTGGGCTAGACAGGAAGCAAGACCAATCAGGACTCTAGGCTGGTCTCACGTGTTTTATGCGTCACTCGTTCGATTGATGATTCACTGCTCTCTGATCGGCGATATCGTTGCGTTAGACAGTAAACAGGGCACACAGGCTCACAAGTTACAACAACTTTATAAATGAAACTGTCCTATCAATCTATTCTGTTAGTATGTACTTTTTAGTTAGTAAATCAAATCAACATTCAAAGAATTTATGTATTATTGTCAATAGATGTGAACTTACATTTAATTGTGAATTCATTTCATATATTGATAATATTCTTGAGGCATGATTTTCTGTTGCATCTAACCAATCCATAACTGTACGAATGGAATGAATTACCTAAAATGTAATGATCAGAAACAAACATCAAATAAACCATTAAATGTAAATAGTTTTAAGGATAGATCATTATATGTAACTTAAAAATGTATACTTACCATTTATTATTGTACAATGAGTTTTGAAATTTTGTTCGGAGTCAAACTTTGTTCATTGATTCACTGAATACCGCTAATAATTTTGATGAAATTAGTCGGTTTGTATAGCGTGTACAAGACGCTATGCAATAAACTTATTTTTTTCTATCCATGCTTTCTTCAGAAACTATATCTAGACTTAAACCTCAATATATTGAATATTAGGCAGCAGTATTTATAGTGACATGTCATAATTCTCCTGAGAACATCCTCTTCTTCAAAATGGAATATAATTCTGAACAAAATGACCCACCGTGAACTTTATACAATCTGGTAGATGTTAGTAAACTATAGTAAGAGCGAGTCAAATGACTCACCTACTCAATTCATATATAAGTCTACATTATCAATGTAGGCAGTCTCTAGCATTGTTATGCAGTCAAAACACATATGACTGGAATATATTCTAGAGTAGTGACTTCAAACTCGAAAAATGAGTAAGTTACTTTTTCATCTTACTATCAAATGTACCATTTAAAGTAACACATAGATGTTTCTAGATATTTATGTTTGTAATTATATTAAGATGAAATGAACTTTGGATTTAGTCTCATATTCATTTTATCAATGTTTAGTATGTTTAACATTTTAGTAAATAACTTATGAAATCAATAATCACAAATGAAACATTGAAATATACATAGAAAAAGCACATTAAAATTAAACCTGTAATTTGATAAATGATATTTGACATTAACAGTGAATATTGAAAATTACCAGAAGTCTTAATTCATTAAAACAACAAAAAAAACGAGAACAAACATTCATGGATTGTCTGAATAGAAATTTTAAAAAAAATTAAGTACAGAGTAATGAGAATACTCAGTTGTGTATTTTTTAAAATTGATTATGGTAGTTTTCAAACCAAAAGTTTTTTATGGCGAGACTCTAATTTATGAACGAGACAATCAGAAGCGTTTAAGAGATTTCAAAGTCATGGCGCCAACTTCAGTGCTTCATGCTAACGTACGGTCGGTTCCCAGGGAATTTGGTACAAAACGTGATAATTGAAGGGCTGTAACAAATAAAACGACGAGACTATATTTTGTGGACGAATCGATCAGGTATAACTTTACAGGTCTCGGATTTTGGCGCGAAAGCCTACCATCCATTTGGCTAAATAGATTTTTGGCATTATAGCTGATTTCAGTTTTTGATGAAAACCCTATATATAATTCCTAACTAAGGCAAATTATGACACTTAGTGCGAACTGGATAATAAAAGCACCAGTAACACTGGCTGCAGCCAGGTACTACAATATATACGGATGTTTGGAGAGCGTACAGACTCCTACATAGGCTTGGTGATGTGCATCGTGTCGTTATCCACCAGTAGCATTTTGTGCACTCAACAACCGGAGTGCACACAAACAATATTGAAGCTATGTAGTCGAGGCTGAAAGAATTTTTGAGACTTTATCATGGATCCAGAGGCCGACTATTCTGTGGCTGTATGGATGATTTCCTCTACGGCATGCATTACGATTTTAGAACCTCCGGACATTTTTCTAAAGTTGACAATTTTTTGAACCACGTATAAGAAGTGTATCCACTTTATTCCTTTGGTTTTGTATAATATATTTTTACTGTATACTTACTGTTTGCTGATTGACTAATATTTATCAATGTCACTTAGGATTCGTTCAAAGGTCGTTCATAAATTATAGTCTCGCCATTTTCATTTGATATCTGCCAGTATTTGAATGTTCTACAGGTTTGACTTTGTTTATGGAAAAAACAACATCTTACTAAACTATACTGTTTATGAATTTAAAGTAGATAACAAAGTTATCCTTTGAGAGGAAATCTTTTCAATCTCTGTTGACTATGGTTAAGGTTTAATTTGTTTAATGTTTATCAAGATCGTACAAACGCTTAATACAAATACAAAGTTGTTTTGTTAGTAATATCGAACGACTAGATTAAAAACAGCATGGGAATACTGTTAACTAATCAGAACATACAAACAAGAAAAATATGTATGTGCAAAACTAATAATAACTAGTAATTAGCATTGTTATGAAGTTATACAACAAAATACTTTAATACAAACTTGATTTTATTTAACGTCTTCTACATAAAATAACTTTTGTTATTTATTTACACATATCATTAAGCTAATCTAATATCACAGATTGAAATCATGAGTCAATTGAAGCTAGACCACCATGGAAAACCTGGAAGCACTGAACGGTCGTTTCATCTTAGTATGGGAATCCTCAGCAGTGCTAATCGACGATCCCGCCCGCCACGATATTCGAACACAGGACCTATCAATCTCGCGCGCGAGTGCTTAACCATTAGACCACTAAGCCGGCTAGTATCCAACAATAATAATGTCTAACTTCAACTGATCCACAAAACTGCACCACCGTACACCATTGTCTTCAGTGAGTTGATATCTCACAACAGACCTGGTTGAACTCCACTGGTAACAGCTTCTCACTAGAACTCCAAGAGCTGCCTCTTAAAGTCAGTCACTAGTGAGCAGATGATAGGCCCTGGGTCAGAATCTCGCTGGGAGCGGGATCGTGGATGCGCACTGCTGAAGAGTCCCATACTAGGACGAGACGGCCGTCCAGTGCTTCCGGATTTTCCATGGTGATCTATCTTCAAATGACTCATGATTTCAACCAGTGATATAAACTCTGTTACATTTTGATGACTTGATTAACACATGGATTATATTGTACTGTGAAGGGTTTAATAACAAAATGTATTATCACTTTTGAAGTAGACGCTTTACGAAATGAATATATATTTTATGAATGACAGCATACATTAAATCTAACATATTAATGGCTTGGAAACTAAAACGAACTAGTAAAAAACATTAGATATAATTTCTTGTCAGAAGAAAATCAATAAGATGGCGAGATAAGTTTGCATCTGGTGTCGTAACCGCAACTTGTTCTGTTACAGTTAATAACAGCTGAGCAGATATATGTAAATTAGAGATAATAGTTCTAACATTTATGTAAGTGTTTTTGCAATAATTATGGCTTTTTAGAAATTATGTGTATGTGTGTGATGTAGATGATTCCTCTCAGTTTGTTAAAATGGATAGAATTTTAATTAACAGTGAAAATATTCATCAGAAAACTAATTAGTTGATACATGAAAGAATTGGTTACATCTTGACAAAGCAAGGGATGAATATCATTATGATGGGTGTTGGTCATAAGAAAACGAAAAAGAGGTTAAATGTTTCGAATAAATATTTCCAATTGTAATTGTTTCGTCATATGAGATACGATCTTGTGATTTCATAACAGACTTAAAAGATAAGTTTTTGGAGTTGAGATTTTAGTCATTTCAGTTGTTGAAATCATGAGTCAATCCTGCGAGGCGGGATCATGGATGCGCACTGCTGATGAGTCCCACAATATGACGAAACGGTCTTCCAGTGCTTCCAGATTTTCCATGGTGGTCTAGCTTCAATTGACTCATGATCTCAACAATTGAAATTTTTAAATTCTCCTAGTTTACATCACATATATGATCTTAGTTAAATAACTATTGAAAACCAACAAGCACTAACAGATGTTTCGTTTAGGTATGTGCTCCTCAACAGTCTCTATACACATCATGTACACCACTGGATAGAGAATCATTGGTTTGAAAGTTAAGCACTCGTTGCAAAACTTTAGATTATAGTCTGGAGCCCTTGTAAAATTGTGATTATTTAATGCTTTATAGTTTCCAATAAATAATTAACAAAGACCCACTCGTAATGTAAACTATGAGAGTTAAAACACTTGAAGTAAAACTGTAAAAATCGATAACTCATTATTGTTTATACCATTACACTTTATACCAATGTCACATCTTAATTTAAATGATTTATATATATATATATATATATATATATATATAATAGAAATGAAGGTATAGTTCCGATGTAAAGCATATAAATCAAAATATCACATCTAGGTAATCAAAAGTGTAATGATTATTACTTATGCCTAATAGTATACGGAGCTCTCCCGTATTTTTGAACGATTTTGTATGTTGTGCTTTTTTTCATTGTAAAATTCAAGAGGTTTCTGTGGCATAATTGACTTCATAGTTCATTATGTGATTTATGTATATTGTCTGAATATCAATGTGTTTACTAAAACAATGAAATCTAACTCTCTACACTAAGTAATATATATACAATATATAATACAAACATGATAGATTTTAAAAGTCATTCATTATTCCCACATTTAAGAACTTAGAAGATATTCAAATAATTCCATCAAGAAAACTAATAGAAGAATAATTATGAATTATTATGACTCTCATTCATTCATATTAATAAAGACAGTTTATTCTATTTAATCCAATTTTTATGACACCAATTTTCTCTCTTTTTTTCTTCTTTTCTTTCTCTTTTCTTTTTTTGGTATTCACAGTTAGTAAAATTAACATTTAAACATTCATAATATAAAACTATTCAATTTTAAGGTCACATTTATGTACAATATACAATGTAACACATTATACACTTGTTTAAATGTATCATTTTATAAATGCCTTAATCATTTTGAAAGTATAATAGAGGGTAATATGAATTCAGGATTTTAGTGAGTTCTATGTCAAAAAAAGAAATTGTTGAAGAATACAATATAAAATTTAGAAATTTATTGAATCATTTAAAGTTCCAATGATTATTATATATGAGTGTTAAATGTTCAATATATCAATAAACTTTTAAGAAGAATATCTTATGTGAAAAGAAAGTTTGTTTATTTATTTAATGGTTAGTTGTTTTTCTATTGTCCTTAAATGATACAATTTACTAATTGATTAGCACAAATATGATAGTTACATTGTTTAAAATTAATTCATAAGAGATAAAAATGTATGATAATAGAATAAGTGAAATGTGTTTAAGTAATGAAATTTAGGACTTATGTTTTTGTCTATTTTAGAGCTCATTAAATGGATGTATTTATATCCCAGTGTTGCTGTTTATATGAGTACTCAATCTCAATAATTTAGATTTTGAATGCTTAACAAGTTATTCACTGAATTGATAAGTCTAAATAGACAGAAGTTTATGCAATGGATATGATGGTTAATTATCATATAGAATACATTGTACATTCTGAATTCCGTTACAAGTCACATTCTATCTACTGTAGATAAATATGTAACAATATGAATGTATTAGCGCGATTCACACAGTGTTCATATGCCAAATTAAACTTCAGTCAAGAACAACAACAAAAAGATCATTTAAAATAGCGCAAATTAAATATATATTAATACTTTTCTTGTAGATATCCTTGTTTTTTTACCTATAGTTAATAACCATGATAATGATTTAACACTTATATATTATTGGATTCTGTGTCCAATAAAGAAAGGACTAGATAATGAATAGATTATACGACACCATGGTCTATTTCACAACAAATTATCAAAATACTAGGTTTACCTCTATACCATCTTTTGTTACTATTCTAAACCTAGTTTATTCTTATGGATTAGTTACTAAATGTTTCGGTTACTGATTAAATAACTTTTTCATTACTAGTTATTGTACATTGGTGTTATTCAAACCTGAACTTCCTCAATAATGTAGGTATATATTTTGTCCATTAGTCATCATAGAAGTGAAATCTAATTGGCAGATTTCTTTGCAATTGCATATAACTATCGAGTTATGAGTTCTCGAACATTGATCATGACATGAAATACATCGACTTTTCTTGAAAATAATCGTTTGAAATAAGGTCTCAATTATCCACAAATACAGTTTACAGGTTATTCATAAAAGATAGTTTTTATAGTTGAATAATCATGATTCGTATCATCATAATTCATTTTGTAAAAACTTTTCCAAATGTAAAATTAAGTTCCATTATAAATCGGTATCACTGATTTCTTGGTTTTCTCATTGAAGTTAGTTTATATGAAAATGTATCTTTAGATTATTATTCAATATTCGACAGAAATCTTATTTGAATTTTGGACTTTAAATGGCTGGCTCAGTCAAAACATGTATAATCTAATAAATGATAAAATATTAAGATTAATGGTTAACTATAAGTAATAATTCGTTTTAACTGAGAAAGTTGACGATCAATTCAAGTATCACAACTATTTTTGTCATCCACCGTATATTAAGTTCATGAACCTCAATATAGTTATTTTTCGTTATTTTCAAAATGTGGACAGGAAGGGGAAAATTTCAATAAGTTCAATGTTTCAATTAGAGATCTCCAGTATTTATGTTATCACGACAGGTTGTAAGCCTATCATGATATCTCATGCACCCACAAAATTAGAATTCATAATTGTTAGATCTAAACGAATGTATAACAAGAACATCTGTTGAAGCCAAGATGATATGATTATTAATACGTCATAGTAACGGCTTCTAGCGAGAAGTTTTTCATCTATGTGACAAACCAAGTCAAAAGTGGAACATCTGAATTTTTATTGAATCATAATTCATGTTTTATTCGAGCAATATAACATGAAAGTAGGGGAGTTTCTATGTAAACATGATTGCTAGGTCGTTTCAAAAACTTACTTGTAAATGTATATGAACACCGAATGTATTAGTCAGTACATAACAATTAAATTAAACCATGGTTTATTTTACCATTGATTTAAGAAAACCATTGCGAAAAATATACTTTATAATGACATAAATGAAATGTAAACTAGTAAGCACCAATACTTTTATGAATGTTTCCATTTTTATAGATTCAGTAAAAATAACAATCGTCACAAAGCAATACAAAATCAATTAATTTGCTCAAAGATTGTTTTTACTGTTTTGATACAGATACCTCTACTATTTAATCTCAAACTATCCATTCATTACTCACTAAAAACTAAGAAGTGACACTTTGAGACAAATGCATTTTATTGGTATCGTTTGTCTAAGAATAAAGTTAATTGTCATTTCATCGAAAAAAATGCTCTACGATCAGACCATTAATACCGGGCAGATTTATTTGTATCTAAGTTGATTCTCATTCCGGGACTTAAACACGGGACCTTTTGCTTCAAACAATCAAAGTGTTATCCACTTAACTACTGAATCCAGACACCTATTTACTTTTGAAATGAATATGAGTTTTTAATGAAGTTTTAGCAGGTCTTTTGAACTATCCCAATTTTGACATTTCTGACTAAATTTTGATAAGTCTCGGTGAATAATACATTTGCAGCTTAATGCGAAACGTACTGAGTTCGAATCATGGAGACGTTTACTCTGAAATTCAGGCATAACCAGATGACGAGTCTCAATTGAAACAAAATGGGAGTTCCGTATTTCACTCCTTCCTATATTTCATTTATGATAAAAATTCTTGTGGTCTAATGGCTACATTAAACAAATTCACCAAGATCCACTATATGACAATTAAGACTAATCAAAATTCACTGCAAAATACCAACAATGAAATAACCCAATAAACCACCACAAAGTAAATTGGTATCTGTTGGAAAAAAAACAGTATAATATTTTCTTGTATTATAATTGACCAGACTCTAAACTCACTTTACTCATGGCGAATAAATTTTCCAGTTGATAGTAAAATGCATAAAGAATATTTACTGGTATCGGTTGCCCATAGAAGAGTATTCCACATTTGGCTAACTAAAATTTATTAAACCAGGCAAAAAGAAATGGAAACAGTAATACTACAGGTGATACCATAATCAATAGTTATGTAGTGTAATCACCCAATTGAATAAAAGTTCCAATGTTTTGTAATTTTTAAATCATGAAACGTTTTACTTCACTTAATAAAATACGAAACTTATAAATTTCGTAACAGACTTGCCAATAACAGGGAACTGTCATATCGAAATCTAATAGTCAGTAGTCGGCTGTTTATGGTATGATGTAACCAACTTGTAATGTTGTTGACAAAGTCTCGTAATCGCTCTTAATATGATCGATATCATGGTCAAATTACTTTTTACATACTTGTAAATTATGTATATTTCGAAAAGATATTAACAAGTGACTGACTTTTACCGAATTAGATTATGTTTTACCATAAAAACATTTCTTTTTATAGCATCTTCTATGCCTTTTGAAACGATTTTTGTTATAAAATGTTGGATATTAACACCGTTAGATGCCAACTCAGTGGTCTAGAGGTTAATCGTTCGTGCGCTAGACTGATAAGTCATGGGTTAGAATCTCGCGAGGCAGGATCATGGACGTGCACTGCTGAAGAGTCCCACAATAGGACGAAACGGCCATCCAGTGCTTCCAGGTTTTGCTTGTGCTTTTATCTTTGCCGACTACTATACAAAGTTATCATGAGTAGTGACGATTTTTATTTAAATCCAAGTGAATGGTTTGAAAGTTGAATAATATTATGAATATTTTCATTATGGAATTCTTGAAGTTGAGCAACATCAAACAGTCACATATTTTATAAATCTTGAACCAAGTAATCAACTTTGAGTAATATCGGAGAAAAGTGTAGTTGTTGTACATTAACTAGATATCAGAATAGGTCAGGATTAATGTCTCCAGAATAAACACTAGATAATACAGGTTAAGTTGTCACTGAAACACTAGTTTCATCAAGGCTAAAGATAAATAGACAAAATGCTAAAAACCTACACGTTCAAGTCCACATTATATCTTTAAATGTGTCAGTGAACAAGGATTCTAACGATGTTCTTGGTGTTTCCCAATAATCAAAATACATTCTACTATGCAAAAATCATATGTAAATGTCTAGTTGTACATCACCTTATCAAATAATGAACCCTATTTTAAAGGGTTGACCTCTGAAACCGGAAATGCTGTTCACTATCTATTCACAAGTGTACAGTTATGAAAACTAAATTTCCATCACAAGCTGACTACATTTAAACATACTGCAAAATCGTAAAATAATTAAGATGACTTCACTGTTGTCGAAGTACATCCACTTTTCATAAATGTCATAGCCTTTTACTCTGACAACTTATGAATCTGGGGAAAACTTAACATTAAAATATTTCAACCATCATCATTTTGAAAGATTACAAAATAGTGTCATGCTTGAATTCATTTGGTATTGTTTTGCTTGTATCTTTCCATTGTTGTTTAGAACTCCAGTTGATCAGTCTCTTGTTGGCATATGTGCATCCTTTGCGAACTGTCTTGATATTGCTTTAAGTCACAAGCTTTATAAGCAAGTATGGATGATGGCTAACAGGTACATACAGCTGACAAGTCCCAAGTAGGGCAGAACGTGCGTCCTGAATTCAACTGCTAGCCACTATCCATCTTTGTTTACAGTGTCATATTTGTTTAAAAGATTCAATGTATTAAAAAAATAATGCATAATATCATCTGGTCATATCTGGCATGTATATTAATCATTTCATTTAGGAATGGCGTTTGTTATATTTACGAAGAACTTGTAATGTCCAAATCAAATAATAAGTTGAATTCATTAAAATGATACTTTACACTATTAATTTACATCGGTTGGTTAATGAATAATCGATTGAACTCGTAATACAGCTCATTGTTCATGAATTTACAATTTACATTTAGTATATTGTTTACATGGTTACATAATGTTTGAATGAAAATGGATTTATAGAATCTCTAACACTTGATATCTAGAATCTTGTCTTATCGAATCCAATTTAAATATACTTTATCAAGTGATAAATTATCAATGAACAATATAGTACATTTATTTGTTGACAGTAAACATTAAACAACAATAAAAACCAATGCAGAACATTTATATGAATCAAATGGTGATTTTTAAACACATCAGCATACATCACTACTATGTGAAGTGTATATCTGTGTAAATTGATATATAGTTGACCATTAACGTGCTTTTTTTTAAGTGATTTAGTTACATAACTTGACAATTGTTTTTTTAAAATAATTTTAACCAGAATCAGACACCATTTTGAGTTAGTATCATTTAACTATTGAATATTAAGAAGGGGTTTTGTAGAGATTTTAGTAATTTCAATAGTTAAAATCATGAGTCAATTAAAGCCAGACCACCATAGGAAACCTGGAAGCACGGAACGACCGTTTCATCTGAGTATGGAACTTCTCAGCAGTGCGTATCCACGATCCCGCCCGCCGCGAGATTCGAACCCATGACCTATCAGTCTCTCGCACGAACGCTTAACCACTAGACCACTGAGCTGGCACCCAACGGTGTTAATGTCTAACTTCAACTAATCCACGAGATCGCGCCACCCTACACCATTGTCTTCAGTGAGCTGATATCTCACAACAGACCTGGTTAAATATTAACATTGGTCATTCAATTTACTTTGTATAAACTTAAAGCTACATTAATGATGAATAAAAGAATCAGAGCATAGATATAAATAAATTCAACATGAAATCAATATTAAATAGTAATTCTTCGAACAGAATTTTAGATCAATTAGCGGAATTTACATATTCTAACCACCCATAAACATTCGAATAAGAAATAATAATCTATTGGGTAATAATTTTGTCTATCGATATTCGTAAATATGAAAAAGCATTCAGAATAAATGATAAACCTTTATCCTAGTATCAGTGTGTTTATCATATGATTAAATGAGTTCATTGTACATAATTCAACATTTATTTAAATCACTGGAGTAGATTTTATATATAACTTCGAACCATTAACAGTCAGTCAACTTTCGAAGTACTACAATGATATAAACAATGAAAATACAGAATAAAGTATCACCAATTACATGTGTTTGCCGTTTATTAGAACATATGGATTTGGCTTTTTATTCGATGTTTTGCTGAATAGTCTCGTTTGCATTAAAGATAACTACCTATTATCGTTAAGGCTTATTGATGCTAGAATAAATAAGATTCTTAAATGAATATCAACTATAATAACTGATGTACAAAGTAGCGATTATTGATGTAATTTAACACTTACAATTTCTTCATGAGTTGGACGTTTGTATTCTAATCCAGAGTACCAAAGGCTTTCACAATATTGTCTCAATGCATCCTATTAAAGATAATGCAAATAAAAGTTGAATATAACAATGTATAAAATATATTATGAAAATTAGTACAAAATGGTTGGCGGTTTACAGATATAATCAGATTAGTAAAAATTATTATGTAATAATATTGCAACAACACTGTGATAAAAGACCTGAGTTTAAACTTTCGGAAAAAGATAATTTCTACATTGATTCTAAAATAATCATTTTGAGATGGTGGAGAAGATGTGTAGCTCAGGTGGATGATTTTGATGGAGTTTTGTTTTTTGAGGTGGATGGTTTGATCGTGCAGCTTTCGTCGTTTTTCTGGACGACATCATCAGCACAAACAATGACAAATTTAAGGTCAATAAGAACCAATCAACCTCGAGGTGTACAGAACAAGCTGTGAAACTCATATGGAGAAATTCGAACACGTCACTTCTATCTGAAGTTTGTGCTGATGATGTCGTTCAGAAGAACGATGAAAGCTCCACGATCAAACCATCCAGGTCAGAGAACAAAACTCCATCAAAATAACCATTTTTCACTAAACTAATACAAATATGAACTAATGAAAATTATAGATCATGAAAAAGTCCTAGTGAAATGGTTTTACACCATAGAATTAGTTATTGTATATAATCCAGCAAAAAGAATAGATCCAAATGAACACAAAGTTGTCATTAATATACAAACTGATAATAAATACTGAAATGCCAAAAATATACCATGAACAAATCATAAATTGAGCTTTGATATAATAAACATAACATATTTGCCATAGACGGCACATATAACCATTTGAGTACTGAAATGCACATTTTAAATATAATAATGATGCATATTACTTTCATAAAAATCAAAGTTAGATAATGTAGAGTACATTTCTATTTACTTATATATGTATTATAAACCGAATAAACCAATAGTGATAAAAGTATACAGTTAAAACCTTTAATTAAGTTGCACACATTTGTACTTGTCATGGTAACAAACTGTATTTAAATTTGGGAACAATCATAGAATCCAAATACATTTTACAGTTGCCTATTGCGGAAAATGTCTTTGTAAATAAGACATCTAACCAACATCAGATACTCATATATATATAGGGACAACTTAACCATTTCTCACAACTGACAAACTCACTAAATCAACAATCGTATTATTGAGCCACACGTGACCATGTCTTTTAATCAAGTTAATTCTAGTAATGTGTTGCTTAGAATTAAACAAAAAGTATGCGAACTTTAAAAAATACAAAATAATTCTCACTATAATTTCAAGTTTAAAAACCTTTATTGTTTTTATACACTTAATAGTTTATAAGTGAAATAAAATACAATAACTATAAACGTCGAATATGTTCTATATTATATTCAGAAGTTAATTGTTATCATTCATATGATGGAAAGAAAAGTCAATTTTGGATTGATTTACTCATTATGAGTTTTGGTTCAAGATTACTTCCGTTTTGATTCATTATGATGATGTTGTTTTGTTGTATAATATACGATATTCTTGTATTCAGTTGACATGAACTATGCTCATTATGTGATTTGTTATATATGTGATTTCATCCTAATTATTAATCAAAATGGGTGTACAATCAATATATAACTGAGTGTATTTTCGACTAGAGTCGTCGTCGTGTTTTGGGGTTAATAAATCTTCTTGATGGATTTTTGTTCTCTGAACTGGATGGTTTGATCGTGGAGCTTTCATCGTTCTTCTGAACGACATCATCAGCACAAACTTCAGATAGAAGTGACGTGTTCGAATTTCTCCATATGAGTTTCACAGCTTGTTCTGTACACCTCGAGGTTGATTGGTTCTTATTGACCTTAAATTTGTCATTGTTTTGGTTGTGTCTCCCATTGGTTTGATTTTTGTTCCTACATTTGTGCATGATTTTCCTGATTGGTTGATAAATTGGATTGATTTCAATATGCTCGTTGTTTGCTGATTGACCTAAGCACCAGGCTTCTAAAAACTCTCTGGTGTTTTTGGAATTTCCTCTGTCTAAGATTTCTACATTTTCCCGATCGAATCAGTGTCCGCAGCTGTCCACGTGTATTGATATAAGTGAGGATATATCATGGCGTTTGACTGCTAATTGATGTTCATGTAGGCAAAGGTGAAGGGGGTGTGCGCTTTGTCCGATGTAGTGTTTTTCGCAGTTGGCACAATTTATTTTGTAGATGATGTTTGATTTGTTTTCCTTTGTTATTTCATCCTTTTGTTTGCATAGGATTGATTGTAGTGATTTTGTCTGTTTGTGTGCCACACCTATCCCGAAGGTTTTCAGCAGTCTCGTCGCGGTTTCTGATATTCCTTGTATATATGGTAGTATGATCCTTTTGTTGATTTCTGTGCTTGACTTGAGTTCTAATGCTGCGTGCGGTTGGTATTTTTTGATGAAGTTGATGGGGTAGCCGTCCTTCTGAAATACATCCTTTAGGTATTTCTCTTCATTTCTTCGTGCTGCCAGTGTGCTGCAGTGTGTCCTCGCCCTCTTGAACAAATTGTGTACGCAGTTGATTTTGTGAGCTCTGGGGTTGTTGCTATTGTAGTTGAAAATTTGATCCGTATGGGTCGGTTTCCTATATACTTGAGTTTCCAGTTTTCCTGTGTCGGTTCTAGTGATCAATATATCCAAGAATGCTAGTTGGTTGTTTGACTCCTGTTCCATGGTGAACTTGATGTCATCGAAAACGTTGTTGGTCAGTAAGTGTTTTCCAGCTCATTATTTTGACGATGACGAATGTGTCGTCTACATAGCGAATCCAAATTTTTGGCTTGATCACTGGTAATATCGCGGCTTCTAGTCTTTGCATCACTGCTTCTGCGATCAGTCCTGATATTGGTGATCTCATTAGTGTCCCTTTCGTTTGTCCATAGATCTCGTTGTTGAACTGAAGATATGTTGTTAGGCATAATTCGATGAGTTCTCATAAACTTTGGGTTGGAAGAAACTATATCCCTGGTCCTCACCAACGACACAAATCTCACTAAATACACGAAACTTCAAGTAGCATTCAACTGACAAGTCATAACAATCATCTTTTATAATATTACATAATTGAATCATAATCTTCAACATCTTGTTGTTATAACGCTTATTATTTATCAACAAACTACAATAAAACGTTAATTTTAATTTAATTTGTTAACAAAATAAATTAATATCTAAACTGTTCGTTGATAAACAATTTATATGTTCGTATATTCTGAAGTAGTTAAACTTCATACTGATAAATCTTTTAATTGAACGCTTGATTCAGTTTCCTAAACTCTCCTAGTAACTCCCAGGCTAAATCTACACGGTAACTTGAATACGAAAGAAAAGTCATAAAAAATGGGAAGAACGTTTTGCTCCAATGTTAGATCATGTGCAAAAAATCAAGAGTATTTCTAGCATTTCAGATGACTTTGGGCTTCTGGAAAGTTCTGAAACCTTTCTAAACATGTTAGCAGGATAGATAATCATCCAATCAGAAAGTTGACAAGTAAGTTTTCACTTTCTAGATGTTTCTGAGAAACGTCTATTGAATGTTAATTAGATAAAATGTTTCTCAGCGCTTTTTTTGGGACCCCTTTGGGCATTTCGTCTTTTTGAGGAATTTCCTGGGTCCGCTTAACACATCTTGTATGTAACTGATAAGAAAGCAGCGAAGTACAATCTGACTCTGAAAATATTATTTTTTTTAGTTTGTTTAAA